TGCAGGGAGGGATCAGGAGCTCCTCACCTTGCCGTAGCCGCCCTTGCCCAGCACGCGCAGCAGCTCGAAGCACTCGGGCCGGATCTTCTCGGGGCCTCTGTTCACACTGGTCTCTGAAATCTCAAACTTCTCACAATGTTCCATGCCCCTGGAGAGAACAAAACATGGATATAAGCCTACCTGATACTCCTAAATGATCACTGAAAGGGAGCAAGTGACTCTGGGACAAGCACAGCCTGCCTGAGCAAGGAACGACTCCCCGGGGGATCTGGGGAACCCTCAGCACCGGGAATGTCACTTAGAAAAGAAATATTCTTTGCAAAGCTCCAAGTGTCAACTTGCACAGAGGAGATTACCTGCAAATTTTGGGGATTTAGAGGATCAAGATCTCCCTCAAATCCCTTCATTTCAATGCACAATGCTCTGCAATACACCAGAGTTAAGTCTGGAAGATCAAAGCCTCCAACTGACTTAGACACTTCTTCAAGACCTCAAGGAAACACGAGGCTCTGAGGGGTGATTAAGTGTCAGATCACACTCAGCAGCCCCAGCAGCCATGGGGAGACTTCCAGAATACAAATCCCTTGCAGAAAAAGCTGTAACAGGAGGAGCCTCATAACTCTGAACATGCCACAAAAGTCTGATCCATAATTTAAGGAGGCTTCTAAACTGTGTTCCAGCTCTGCCAAAGTTACACAGACTGATCCTGCTCAAGGAAATGTGGCTGAACTGCTGGAATTATTCCTTCTCCCCACTGGAATAATCTGGGAACTATAAATGAAGCCAGGCTGGAGGTGTCTGTCTCCTGAACTCAGGGTTTCTCCAACAATCCTTGCTGGAGAAACAAGGATTAAAAGACAAGCAGCAAGGTTTCACCAGGATTTTACTCTGTTATCATCATTTCAAGATGCAAGTCATAAATTTTAATGTGAGGCAATAGTGAAATGTCTAGAAATGACTCAGATTTGAGCCAGAGTGACAGCATTTTCTGTTTGCCTTAATAATGGGACAAAATGAGAAGTTATGTGAGGCTGGCATGAATGATACAGGATATTTTCCAGCAGCAACTTACAGGTCATATTGGCCAACTCCTCCATGGTCCATGCTCTCACTTAACTGACCCTGGGGATGGGAGGGGTAGAAGGAAGATTAATTAGAAAAAGAAAAAAAAATCATTAAAAAGAAATGCACTGATGTGTCTTATAGCTTGTTACATTACAAAGAAATAGATATAATTTTAACTTACGTAATCAAACAAGTCTAAAGGTCAGGAATAATAAATTCTCAGCAGAAGATAAAAAAATGCACAAAATTCTGTGCAAGATTTGCAATATTTCCACAGATCTCAGAGAGTGACCAGGGAACCACTGCCTTACCTGGCTGTGCTGTTATTTAATCACTTAAATGTTACAGGTACAAATTCCCAGCCCCATGAGAATTTGGAAAGTATTAAGACACTGCATTTTTCTTTATAGTTGCTCTTACATATGGATTTTAAAGTCCTATTACAGTACTATGCAAATCAGAACAATAAGAAAGATTATGGGAATAGATGAGCTGGGACTCATGTGCACTAAAACCAAATAATATACAGAGGTTTTATTATTTTATACTGAGAATAATTCAATCCTAATAATAATGAAAGAATTCAGCTTTCCTCTGATGTTAAACACCTTTCCTGACCAATAATCACTCCACAGATTAATGAATGTAAATATTACTAAGGAAAGTTCAGGCACTTCAGCATGAGAACCAGTCACCAGTGAGGAATGGGGGTTAATTCTGAAGAGATATTTCCTTCAGAGAATTTTCAACTTGATCCCTTCTGCAAGATAATACTTCCCTCTCACTGGGGCTCTGCATGGCAAAAGAAGTGCAAAGCAAGCAGACAGCTGGAATGAATGCAAATGGAATTTCATGGGCCAGCTTCTAGGGAGCTTAACTATACCCCAGAACTTTTATTTTTAAAAGTATGGACAAAAAAAATGACAACTGCAAGGAGATACAGATAAACTGAGTGACCTGTGAAATTCAGAGAAACAGGAGGGAAAGAAAAACCACTGAGAGCTGCAAAAAGCAGCCCAAGGAGTGCATTTCAAATATTATCTAAGTGAAAAGGCTAACCAAAGAAAACTAGAAACTTTCAGCAGCTTCCAGACCATTGAAATGTTCAAGTTTACAGAGGCTGGTTCATTTTGGGTGGGCTAAAGGGGAATTTAACTCCTACAAGCACCACAGGCACTGAGGGACTCCAAAAGCTCAGGTTTGTTTCCAGCTCCTGCCCTGCTGGCATTTATTAAAACTCAGCTTATTGACACGTTTCACAACAAACCCACTGAGCCTGCCCTTGACCCCACTCCTGATGCCAACAAATGAATTTTAAAAAAATCAACAAACACAGAGAATAAACACCCATCACGTTCCCAGAGCAACCCCTCCAGTTACCCAATGGTTCTGGAAAAGTTTCTGTGTGCTGCTCTTGCTCCTGTGAACTCTGGGTTTCATTCCCAGTATGAACTTGACCAAAATGCACTTTAGGTACCATTCTGCTCTATCAGGGTTTGTTCTCCTTCCACAGCACCAGCAGCCCTTCAGTCTGTACGTTATTTCACTCCTCACAAACACCAAAATTAAGGCTGGGTGGTTTTTCACACCACAATAATTAGTGCAAACAACCACAGGGCTTTTGAGGAAACGCTGCATTTAACAATCCTGCAGATTTTCTGGGATGGCTGTGCCTATTCCAACCCACAGCTGATGTGTCTGGGCTCCCCCAAGGCTTTGGGAGGCACCAGAGATGAGACAACACAGTCCTGACTTCCCACCTCAATCACTGCCAGTTTAATGACCCCCACTGCAACACCTTTCTGATCCTTGTAGGACACACACAGAGACAACTTCCACTGAAACATCCTCCCCCTCACACATTCCTGATGGTCCCCTTCTTCCCTGCTCTGACATTCCCTGATTTTCAGCTGGTTTAATTCCACTTCTCACTCTCCTTTATCAGTTTGCAAAAGGCACCTGAGAACCAGCTGAGGTTGCCAACATGCATTTGTTGCTGCTCCACAGAAACTTCTGTCAAGGCAATGTTTTTAAATCCACATTAACCAATGAATGGTTTAATTGTTCCCTGGGACTGAATTATTGGAACAGGAGACAGAACAAACTCAACTTTCTTGCCACCCCCTCAGAACCTGTTCCTGGCAGCATTAACTGTCTGATGCAATTACAGGGGTTTTTTAAGCCAAGTATTTTATTGATTACTGAGGTGACAAACAGAGCTTTTCCCTGCAGGTCAAGGAGCTTTCAGCTGTCAAACAACGTCCTACAGTTCATATGGAGTGGGGGAACTGAATATCTGATTGTGTCCTGAAGGAAAGAACCTGAAGGGAGTCTACACCAAAGATAGAAAGGAACTTTTTACAAGAGCCTGGAGTGATAGGACAAGGGGGAATGGCTTCCCACTGCCAGAGGGCAGGGTTAGATGGGATATTGGGAAGGAATTTCTGGCTGTGAGGATGGTGAGGCCCTGGCACAGGCTGCCCAGAGAAACTGTGGCTGCCCCACTCCAAAAGAGTCCAAGGCCAGGTTGGACGGGGCTTGGAGCAACCTGGGATAGTGGAAGGTGTCCCTGAACACGGCAGGGGGTGGGACTGGATGAGCTTTAAGGTCCCTTCCAACCCAAACTATTCCATGATCTCCAGGACTCCAAGGATGCCAGTAGAATTTAAACAGCAGAAAATAAATGCAGTAGCGGTTTAAACAACACCAAACGTTTAATATAAAAAACAATTTTAAAAAGCAACAGCATCACTGGAAAAATATAAACAGACACTGTAATGAGACCCCCCCAAAGCCGCGGCAGAACCCAAACGAACATCGCAAACCGCGAACTCCCGACGGCGGGCGCAGCGCTCAGCACGGCACAGCACAGCACACAAACACCCTCTGGCCCGCCCAACGCGGCGCTTTAAATCTGAGCTTTCAACTTTGCCGCGAGAGCCGCGACTGCGGAGCGAGCCGCGCTCCTGCCCCGCCGCTCAAGCGGACTGTGACGCAAAGCCAGAAACAACCCCCGTCGGTCGTCCCGGCGCCGAACTTCCGAAGGGAAGAGCTCTGGCGGGGCCCGGATGGCGCTCTCCGGGGCGGTGCGGGAGGCCCGCGCGGCTCTCCCCGCGACGCCTCAGCGCTGGCCCCCGCGCGCGCCTCCCGCGCCTCTGCCCTCCCTCCCTGCAGGCCCCGCGGCCTCCACGCCGGCGCGCCCGCATCTCCCCCTCTCACCCCCTCCTCAGCTCGCTCGTCCGAGCCCGCGTCCTCGCTGGTCCAGGTCGATGTCGGAACACTCCCGCCAATGACTCCTCGCTGGCTCCGCCGCGAGTGCGCGGGCCCAGTGGCGCCTCATGCAGGCCGGCGGCCCCGCAGCGCCCGCCGCGGCCGCCATCACCGGCGCCTGCGCGGCCGCAGCGCGCCTGCGCGCCCGCCCCGCTCCGCGCGCGCCGCGCCTGCGCACCGGCGCCCCGCGCGTCCCGCCCGCCCTCCAAGTCCTGGCGCGGCGCCGAATGCGCAAAAGGGCGCTGTGAAGCGCGCCAGCGGCGCGAGCGGTGCGCGCTGTGCGGTGGGCCGAAGCCGGAGGGCGCGGGCGCGGCCGCCAGGCCTTCCAGGACAGAGCGCTGCGGCCATGCGCCGGGCGGGCCGTTCGAAGGAGCGTCCGTATACAGGGTGGGGAGGCGAGAAGAAAGGAGCGCTGAGGGGGCGGGGAGCGGGGAGGTTCGCGGATCGGATTGGCGGACGCGCGAGAGGGCTCGGCATGGGATGGGGTCAGGATCAGCGCGACGGGATCGGGACCAGGCGATCAGGCGTCGCCGCCGACAGCGGATCGGGATCAGGCTCTGGACTGGAATGGGATCAGGACAGTCGGGACCGGGGTGGGATCGGGATCTGGACTGGAATTGGATCGGGATCGGAACCGGGGTGGGATCGGGACGAGGTTCGGGATGCCGGCAGAGGGTCCGGCCGGGCTCGGGGCGAACATGGCGGCGGTTCTGAGGGGGGAGCCCCGAGGGGCGGCCCCTGAGGGGGATCTGCGGGCACGGACACCCGGGTGGGACGGTCGGTGTCGCACAGGTCGGACACGGGCCTTTCCTGAGGATAATTCACATGTTTGTTTATTCTCGGTCTCGCAGCAACCCCCGGGCTGGCAGAGGCGCTGGAATCGCGCACCGCGATCCAAATTAGCACAAACCTTCCCGCAGAACGCGGCACAGGCACCGGCAGCCATCCAGGGAATGCTGGTACGGGAATGCTGCGGCACAGCTGGGGTGGCAATGAGGAACTGCAGCCCGGAGTTTAAAAAAAAAATTGACCTTGTTTCTGTGAATAGAAAACTGAGAAAGCAGAGCTGCTGTAAAATGCTGAGCGGGGGAAAAAATGTCAAATCACGCCGGTACAGAGGCAAAAGCTTTGCTCTGTGTGCTGGAAGCAAGGGGAATGCTCCAGGGAATCCTTTTGTCACCTCAGCAGGCTCTGGCATCAGGCCTGGAGCAGAACAGGACTGGAAATCGGCTACAATTTTGAACAGGCTCAACATTTCTAAGGGCATGTGGTGCTTTCTTATTGTGCTTTTACATCCTAGTCCGATAACTTTGAGTTATAATCATTTTTTTCTATCCTGCCCTACTGAGCAAAAGGAAGAAAACGAACAATTCCCTTGCTATGTGGCTGGTTCCAGCTCCCTCCAGATGCAAAGCAGCAGTAAACAGCTCTTGCTTCCCTTTAAACTGCCATCTGTGCTCTTCTGGCCTTCAGGAGAAGGTGCTGTCAGGCAGCTTTTCCCCAGAAATAGCCAGTGGTTGTGGTATAACCATCCTCAAAAAATGGCACAACGGACCAGAAACCCGCCAGAACTATTTTCCCCCCTGTCTTTTCCACAGTTACTAAAGACATCATTTCTTTTTCAGGCTTGAAGAAGGATGTCAATAGTCACAGTCCAGCTTGGGCAGTGTGGGAACCAGATTGGGCACGAGGTGTTTTGCTGCCTGTGCAGTGACATCCGTGGCACTCATGGGCTCTGCTCCAAGAAGGAAAACCAATCCTACCAGGATGCCTGCAAGGAGAGGTTTTTCTGGGAGGAGGAATCTGGAGGTACAGCTTTAAAAGGGCTTTTTGTTCCCCACACAGGGTCTGTTTTCAGGACACAGAAATCAAACAGGTCTTTTACCTTCGGTTGAGGAATGAGTTTTACCTTCAGCCTTGAAGGGCTGTTTAACCCTCTGCCCTCACAACACTGCTGCAGACATGGAAGCAGAATCAGTGCAGTGAAGGCTCTGAGAAGACAAAGCCAGTTTCCCAGTAGCACAGCTGGAAACAAAACAATCTTTCCTTCCAAACATCTGCATTTTCTGCTGTAGATGGATCACACCACAGAGCAGGACCCACAGGGTCCAAATTTGACATTATCAAACACACTGAGTGGTTCTTTCCTGAAAGAGAACTCTGGAGTTCACATTTGTCTTTGGCACAATACATGGGCATGGCCAAATCTTTTCTGTGCTGCCTGTGCTGTCCCATTAATGGCTTGGATAATGTGGGTGGGAGGAATACAGCCTGGGACATGCTATCCACCCAAATCCATCCATTTTTGTAAACATGTTGGCACGTTATTGTTAATTCTGTTGTTCTCCCTCTGCAGTGCCTGTGGCCCGGGCTGTGCTGGTTGACATGGAGCCCAAAGTCATCAGCCAAACCTTAGCCATGGCTGCCAGGTCTGGCTGCTGGAAATACAACACCCAGTCCCACTTCTGCCAGAAGCAAGGCTCTGGGAACAACTGGGCCAACGGGTATGGAGAGCTGTTCCAGGCTTCCCAAGGGAACTGTGGAGGCTAAGGAGCTGTTTACACTCTCCAGGAGTGCAGCTTAGTATGGAACAGGATTTATTTTTAAGTTAAAGTAGAAATATATAGATAGCAGTGTAATTTTTGAACTGATTTTTGCAAGATGAAATTGGTGTTTGAATCATAGAATCCCAGAGTGGTTTGGGTTGGAAGGGACTTTGAAGCTCATCCAGTTCCAACCCCAACACCTTCCACTATCCCAGGTTGCTCCAAGCCCCTTCCAACCTGGCCTTGGACACTTCCAGGGCTGGGGCAGCCACAGCTTCTCTGGGCAACCTGTGCCAGGGCCTTGCTCCTTTGCAGTGAAAACATGACATTTTAGAATGGAGAGAATATAGTTAAGAACAGGAAACAATAAGGCCAGTTTATAAACAGCTGTTTTGCAAAATGAACATCCCAGCTAAGGATTGTTTAGTGCAGATAGAATGGATGACAGTGCAAGCTTATAGAAATAATAATAATAATAAAATGTGCTTAATGAATAGCTTCACCTTCCTGCTTTTCTGTTACTCCCCAGTTACTCTGTCCACGGGCCCAGACACAAGGAATCAATCATGGATCTGGTGCAGAGAGAAGCAGAGAGATGTGACCGCCTGGGAGGATTTTTCACCATCATGAGCATGGCTGGGGGCACAGGGTCAGGCCTGGGAGCATTTGTGACCCAGTGCTTGAGAGATGCTTTTCCAGCCTCATTTATCCTAAACCACGTTATCTGGCCCTATGGCACTGGTGAGGTGAATGTCACATTGCCTTTTTATATAGAATTATAGAGAATTTTTAAGTTTATAATCGCTGCTTGCTTTTAAATAAAATACCTACAACAGAAATAAGAAGGAAAATAAGTACATTTTACTTTTTTACAAAGTTCAAAGGACTAAGTAACACAGCTAAAGGATTGTTTGCCTGATATTTGGTACGTGTGACTTCACCAAAACAAATTCTTGATAATTCAAGTGCTGAAGTGGTGCAGCTTCACAAGAACTAGAAATCTCCTGTTGGGATCTTATCTCAGCAGTACAATCAGTTCCCAGGTAGATTTTGTTCCAGCATGTTTGTATGGAGAGAGATGGATAACCTGATTTTCACGGGTCTTGCCCTCTTTCCCTGGAAAAGCTCTGAGCTCCTGACCCCATTCTGCACTTTGGCAAAGAAAATGAATCACTTCCTAAATCTCAGCTGAGGAAACAGCAGCAGCCAGAGGATTATAAATTAGAAAGGGATTAAGTTTGACTCTCACTTGTGTGGGGTTTTTTTGTTTGTTTGTTTGTTCCCAGGTCATTGTTCAAAACTACAACTCTGTTTTGACTCTGTCCCATCTGTACCGCTCCTCAGACGCCCTCCTTGTCCACGAGAACGATGTCATCCACAAGATCTGTGCCCAGCTGATGAACATCAAACAGATCTCCTTCAGGGATGTGAACCAAGTCATTGCACATCAGCTGGGCAGCCTTTTCCAGCCCGTTCACCCAGCAGAGGGGAGCTCAAACTACAGCAGGAACCCACTGGGTACCAAACCATGTCATTCCCACACCTCTCTCTAGTCAGGTCAGGGGGGAATTGAAGTTCTTCAGTCTCCTTATTCAACTATTTGGGTACATCTCAAGTTTTCAGGCAGGCAAAGTGGAGGAAAAGACAAATTTAGAAGTTCAATCCAATCCCAATGTTGTAGCAGAGTCAAAAATAAACCCCTCCAACTTCTGCTTTCATTCTTCACCAGAAGAACCCTGTTTCTGCTTTTCCAAGTGATCACAGACCCCCTGGTACCTATTTACAAACTCGTGCAGGTCAGTGCTTTTGGGCTGAGCTTCACCTTTCACTGGGGGGCAGAAATTTGGATGAACTGAAACAAACTGAAAGTTTTGTGTTTTGCTCAGGCAGAAAACAGGTGAGCAGACAACCAGGGAGCAACAGCTGGTGTTTATACCCTCAGGAAATTAGAGAAAGTTACCCAAAATTAAGCTTTCCCATCTGTCTGTCGATCTCTTTAGCAATGCAGAGAGTCCTGGAGATTCTGAGAAGTGAGACAAGTCTAAACTGTAAAATCAGAGCTATTAATTCAGTAACACACAGCAAGTTTGCATTGCCCTGTCTGAAATTGCTAAACCTCTGTAACATTCCTCCCTCTCTCCTCCTGTTTTAGCCACCCTGGGCAGTGTTTTTTTGTGAGCAGCTGTTGATTTCTCCTTCCAGGAGACTTGATGGAGACACTGGTCCCACATCCCGAGTTCAAGATGTTGGGGCTCCGGAACATTCCTCAGATTCCTGAGAACTCCCTCCCCTACAGCACCTTCAGCTGGCCTGGGCTCATCAAACATCTGAGGCAGATGCTCATTGCTAATGCCCAGATGGAGGAAGGTACAGAGCATTCCCTCCCCTCTCCTCACTCATTTCTCCAGGTGAGATGAAGCTGATTGTTTAGTGCAGCTCCCTTCAGTCAGTTCAGAGCCCTCAGCAGGAATTTGCCTCCAGCTGCTCCTCAAACCATTCCCTCAGCCTGCTCCTGCCTTTGCTTCCAGCCATCTCAGTTAATTACAGCCACTGAAAACACACAAACCAAACCAACAGTTTGTGGCTGTGCACTTAATTTACATCCTTCATTTGGAACATTCTTTGGGTTGGGATTGCTGTGTTTTCTTTTTACACCTTCTACTCATGAAAATGCTGCTCAGCTCTCCCCTACCATTTACATGGGAATTCAGTTATAGCTCCCAGTTATGCAGGGAATAGGCTGGCAATTGGTAAGGATAGAAACAGGTATCATTTTCTCTGCTAGACAAGTGACTACCAGGAAAATACTGCTGGATTAGCACTGCTTTTCCCTGGGAATTGTGTGATTGCTGCTTAATTAAAGTGCAGCAGCTACAAACTCCAGTGTGGGGCACAGTGATAGTTCCCATCTGCCTCTTCAGCTATTCCAAATCCACATTTCACAAAACATTAACTATCTTTTCTGTCTTTTTTTACCAAAATCTCACAGGTATTGACTGGCAAGTACGACCACCTCCTCCAGGCTCCTCCACCCCCTCCAGCCATTCCACAAAGAAGCCACTGCACTTCAACACTTCCATTGCCAACCTGGTTATCCTGAGAGGAAAAGATGTCCACAGTGTGGACTTGGGTAAGGAGGAAAAGCCCCAAACCTCAGGGGTTCTTGTTTCACATCTCTCTGGTTTCTTTACACCACATCTGATCAAAATAAAAACACCCCAGGGCCACATGTTTGGTTACTAAAGGTCAATATTCCCTCTAGAAACAGTTTAGTGTCCAAGGCCACATTGTCCAACTGCTTTGGGCTGTTGTCTTTACAGCAGCTTCCTGAAGCACTTCAGGGCAGGAGGAAGAGCCTGTAATCTGTGTATCTGATGAAATTCTTGGCTTTATTGTCTGAAAATACATTTAGCTGTTTCTGGAGTGATGAGCATGGCTGGCAGATGCAGTACTGACACAAGAGAGCACTTCTAGATAATCCAAGGGGTCTGTTTCAGAGTTCTGTTTTCTGCAGGCTGATCTCTGCAGAGTTTTCCCAAGGCCTGAACTGATCTGCCAAGCTTTGATTAAGTCACACAGGACAACTGAGACCAAGATGCAGGAGTCTGCAGCTTTACATTTACCAAAAGGGCTGTCTTATCTCTGCTCCAGGAAGTTTCCAAGATCCCTCCCTGTACACATCATGGCTAAAGCCTCAGGATGCTTTTAATGCCTGGAGAACACCAAGAGCATTTAACAAGTATGAAAAGTCTGCCTCTCTGGTCAGCAACAGCCAGTTCCTGCTGAAACCTCTCGACAGCATTGTGGGAAAAGCTTGGAATATGTTTGCTTCCAAGTAAGTCAAAAGAGTCATGCTGAGACTTCACTAACAACTGCCAGTATCTTCACTGGGAGAGAGATCATTGTAAATAAGTGAGACCACAGATTGCAGTGCTCTCAGTGTATTTTCTCAGTCCCAAAACTCCCCAGATTTAGTGCATTCCAATTTGACCATCCTAAAAATAACACACAGAAGCTCTTTTGCTGATGGTTTAGTTTCCAGCTTGTGGACAGGCCTGGAAAAAACTTCCTGGCTCAGTCAGCAGCACTGAGGGGATTGGTGTGCATTAATCACTTCCCCTTCCAGTTCCCACTTAGCCCAATTTTTTTAGCTGCAATTCTATTTCCTCAACCAATACACAGATATAAAAACTATTGGAAACAAGTCAGGACTTACTGATCAGTAGGAATTACAAAATGAGTTCGAGGGAGCACAGTAAAAACTCACCAGCACAGTTATAGGGTGGAAACCAATCCTGATTTGGGGTTTTCACAGTAAATATCCAATATGTGTCAGATTCCCCCCTGATTTCCAATGTCTTACCCATCCTTCCCCACACAGAGCTTATATTCACCAGTACACCAAATTTGGAATTGAAGAGGAAGATTTCCTGGACAGCTTCACAACCCTGGAACAAGTTATCTCCAGTTACACCACCCTTTGATTTTATTTCTTTTAAATGGTCAGAAATGGAGCTTTTCTGAAAGAACCCAGCACTGGAAAACCTCCCATCAACTTCCTGAAGTATGGAAATGTCTGGGCTGGAGCTGGTTTTCAGTCTTGAAAGCAGTGTGTGTGTGTTAGGACAGCAAGAACTGACTCTGAGCTGAATATATTCCTATGGGCAGGTATTATTCTTATTTAATCTATCTAATAAATACCTATTTTTCAATACATTTGCTATGTACTGTAGCTACCTCTCTGAACATAATTTTTGGCACTTTAATATAAACTGTCATGAATTTTCATTGTAACACTTTGCCCACAGAATGCTTTAATGCTGATAAAACAGCAGTGCCAGGATTATTAATCCAAGCTCCATTTGAGATTTAAGATACAACACTGTGGCACCTGGGCCTTTAAAGCAAAGTCAGAATAAATTAGATTTTAAGGACCTTAACTTTGACCAAACAGCAAAAGTTTTGAACCATCTTTTAAGAGAAAGGCAAAGATTTCTTCATTTTCCTGTCATCCTCCAGTTATATTAGAGGTTATAGTTAATTAAATCCTTTTCTCACCATTTCCCTGTGCCTAAAACTTGGGAAAAATAAATCCCTATAGCACAGCAGAGGCCTTGGCTCTTTGTTATACCCACACCACATGTTTAAGCAAAACAACTGCTCTTCCTCTATGTTAGAACTTAATTAATTCGTTATTTATTGAAACATATTTGGCAGGAGGATGGCTGCTAGATTTCAAATAGAACAGGACACAGCAATATCGTGTTTAATCTATTTTTAAATTTCAAAAAGCAATTTAAGGAATTGTCTGGGTTTTTTTTTGTTTTGCACAAGTTTTACCACCACCACAAGGTGGTGCCCTGGAAGCTGCAGCTGCACCAGCCTGGAAGGAGGAAGGGATTGAATCCCTTGGGAAGGCACACATGCTGAATAAAATAAATATATAATATTTATGTATTTATTTATATATGTATACTAAATCAGTAATATTAAATTTATGTAAAATAATATAGAGAATATATAAATATAAAATAAATATAAGAATATATAAATATAGAATAAATATAAGAATATATAAATATAGAATAAAAGAGTCCAGAATTAAGGATTATGTTGTAACACCAACCTTCCTCCTGCCTCTGTCAGCTTTTCACTTAATGGTAGGGAGAGTTTGGGGAATTCTTGCCATTCCTCCCCCCCCATGTCACACTTATGATCCCATAGAAATAATCCCACAGGCCAAAAAATAAAAGAGTTTAAAAACAAATCAATCTCAGGGACTTTTCCCTTGACAAATTTCACATTTTAGAGTGTCCCTTTAGGTTTTTAGTGCCATTTCTTGCCAGGCCTTGAAACTTTTAACTGAAAGGTGGCAGCTCAGAGCTGGGCACTGCTCTGGTCCAAAGGGATTTTTGGGGGGTGTTTTTGTCCCTTTCAACCAGTGTGTAATTTGGGTATTTTCCACAGAAGAAACTGGAGGAAAGGTTGCACGAGCTGAGACAAACAGCACAGGCACTGCAAGGAACAAAGGGTCAGGAAAGGAGACCTTGGGGAGCTTCTCCCTCCTGCAGGAGGCCCAGGATGTTCAGCCACACAGACATCCCTGTCCCACAGAACAGGTAAATGAGGTGTTTAAAAAGCTAAAGGCAGATAAGTCCTCTGAGAAACAAGGAAGAGAGCAAAGGGTTATTGATCCAGCAGCACCATAACCCACTTTATGGCAGAAATAACCTGTTATCTCCATGTATTTATAATTCTGAGCATGAGGCAAAGGCAGCAGGTGCTCAGTGGATGACACAGCCACATATTTATCAGTTATGGCTCAGGATTTCCAGGTAATGCAGCAGGTTACTGGAAGGGGTTTCTTTGTTTAAGTTTGATGGCAGAATTGATGCCATGTCAGGAAACACAACACACAGCTGAGATGCACAACCCCAGAGCAAAAATGATTTCCTTATTTAACAAAAGAAAACAGAGAGGGAAAGGTTCTGCAGCTCACAGACACAGCCAGGCCAGCAGGGCCATCACTGCTTATCAAGGGTTGCTCTGTAAGGACTTGTTCACAGTCAGGATTCAGGGAAAACACTCCTAATTCCACGTGAAAACAACATTTTTAAAAGCAGCAATAGAGGATCACAGCCATCAGCCAAAGTTTGACAAACACAGGTTCCTCAAAAGTATTTAAAAGAAAAAAGAGTTGAAAACAAAAGTGTAGATGGATTATCTGTTATAATCCTCTCCACTGCTCTGACAGGAGCTGTTTGAGGCATCTTTAGGCTTCTTCCTGTGACTGTTTTTCACTGCTGACCTCAACCCTGAAATTCTCACACCCTTTCCCAAACCCAGCCTTCAGTTTTTGATTCCTCTGGGGGTTTTTTTTCCCCAGGATGTGCAGAGGGTCAAAGTGGCAGGAAGTGAATAGCTGGTATCAAAGAGTCATAATTTACACTTGTATTAGAAGGTGGAGCAGTACTTTTCTATTTTATTGATAAAATTAATCACGGGGATAGTCAGAGCCTGGCAGAGGGCCTTTATCTCATTAGCAATTAAAGTTAATGAGGTGGATCAAAGGTCAGCACAAGCCAATGGCTCAGAGACAGGAACAACAGAATCAGTGGCCTCGACCTTGCTGGTTTTAGGCAAAGTCCCCACAGGATGTCCATAAACCTGGAACAATGCACCAAAGCTCACTATTGTTGTTGGGAGGGACAGGTGCAGCTCACTGGGAAGTTGATTCAAGGACTCCAACTACAGAAAAAAAACCAAACAAACCCAAAAAACCCCAAACCACCAAAAAAATTCCAACCCAGAAACAAAAACCTTCAATAACCTAAAATACTTTAAACACAATAAGTGGCAGGTGACAGTAGTTAATGTATTTATAGATATGATTTATTTGGCTATAAGCAGATATTGGTGCTTTTAAGGTCAGACTCACTACCAGGACGGGAAGGATAGAACTGGGGGTAAATATATAAGGGGAAAAAAAAAAATCTGTGGTTCCCACACCAACCAGGAATTTATCAACATGAAAGTTATATTCAAATTACCAGCTGATACACTACTGAGGAAAATTAAGGTACAAAAGGATGAATTATTCACTTCCTTCTGCATTTGCTAAGTAATTTAGTCTGGATAAATATTATGAAGTGAGAGACTAAACATCCAAAAAGAAACACTCCCAGATGAAGAAATGTGAGTTTTGCTGGACACCACTTTAAAAACCTGCACAGGAGTCATCAGGGAAGTGATTCATGGATCCGATTTAGCACAAAAAAAGCTTCCAAAAGGAACTGAGCTGCTGCCTTTCCTCCCCTGCTTCCAAGGGCAGCCCGGACCCAGCTTCGCCAAGGCAGCAAATTCCAGTTTCCTGGGGCAGCCTCTGCTTCCCCCCCAGCTCTGCCCACGCTCCGGCCCCCCGGCTTTGAACCGGCCCGGCCGCGGAGCTGAGAATCCCCAATTTTAACCGGGGAGCTTTTCCGGCTCTTTCAGCGGAGCCGCAGCTCACAATGGTCCCCTCGGAGCCCGCATTGTGCGGGTTCGGTCCCTCCAGACGGGCACTTCCCCTCCGCGGGAGGGGACGTGAGTCACACACGGCCGGGAATCAGCACAACCTGCCCCTTAACCCTTTCCCTCGGCACATCCCGCTCCGTGAACCCCTTCCCGGGGCTCTCCAAACAAATCCTCCTGCCAGCCCCCGGGGGAGCACCCTGGACAGGGTGAAAACGGCCTCAGGGAGGAGATCAGTGAAGCTGCTCCTGCTCCTTAGGAAAAGGCAGTTTTTAAAATAAATATGTGCTGTGATAAAGATCATGGAAGAAATCTAAACCTTAATTAAAGCCTGAGAGGTTCTAAACTGTGACTTCTAGCAGAGGCACACTCTGTACTTATCTGGGTGAATTAGGTGCTAGAAACCTTCTCTTAGTCTTAAAAAAAAAATTTAAAATACGCCCAGTTACACAGTAAAATAGAAAAATAACCAAAATGAGGGTCCTCTCTAGGCCCAAATTCCTATTTTAAATGTAAGAGTGGTAAGCAGAGAAGCTAACTAAAAGAAGCCACTGGTTAAACCAAAAAAAGGCAGAATAAACGTTGCTGGGGCTTTGATTTTACTGCTCGTGGTGTGTTTGCATTAAATGGGTGTGTCCTGCCAAACTGAGCGTGGCCCGTGTTTGGTTCCACGTGTTTATTTAAGGCTCAAAAAATAACACTTGAGCTGCCTGGGAATGGTGTCATTGTGGTCATGGCCTGATTTGAGTTGAACTTCTGCCCAGCAGCCTCCAATCTGTGAGAGATCATCGACAGCAGCGGGGCAGGGGAGCCAAATGGAAACCAGCCCCATCCCACTGGAGGTGGGATCAAATCCTGGCTGGGCTTGGCTGGAGCTGCAGCCTCAGCCTGTAGCACTACCTGTGAGTCAGCTAAGTCAGCAGTCTGATTGATGTTGTTATTTGAAGTTAAAGGCATAAATTTGGCAACCAATATCCAATTAAATGTTTCTCCCAAGAAGAAAGCTTCCATTCCCTCCACTAAACTCAGGGTTTCACCTTATTTTCCTCTACAAAGATTTAATCAGGCTTCTCTCCAGACCCAGAGTATTCTTATATAAAACCAGATCCAAACCTGTGCTGGGAAAGGAGAGCTCGTTCTTCAGCCACCTTAGGAAGGAAACATGAACACTTGGGGTCCTCCAGCTGAACAAAACTTCAGTCAACAGGCCTGGACTTGTCCAAAAATCGCTGTACTGAGGGCAGAGAGAGCTCCAGGAAGGACCAGGGGAGGAGACCTCAGGGACAGCCTTAGCCAAGGCCTCTCAGGCTCCTCCAAACAAGACTTAACCCCTTTCCTTGTTCCCGTAATTGGAAGGATCTGGCACAGCTGGAATCTGTTGCCAAAGGACGTGGATTATTTGACTCCTCTCAGCAGCACCTGCTCCTCCTGGGCAGGTCTCAGTTGCTGCTCCGTGGAGTTGCCACAGGGTGGCTGTGCACAGGCACCAGTGATTAAATCAGGTTTGGGTGGAGATTAAGGGAGGCAACAGCACTAAACCCACCAGCTGGATCAGCACACATCCAGCAGAAATACTGCTTTGGACATTTCTTTGGCACCCATGAGTTTGAACTCCACTGAACACCAGCTCCAGCCATCCTGAAAGTGTCCTCCTTGCTGCTCCTCACCTGGGCTCTTACACAGGGATCCACGGGATTGGATGTCAC